TCTACCCTTCCACGACACAAGCCAACTGGCCTGCCATCCTCTTTTCTGGCTGTTCCAAAGTGGCAGCAGAAACAGGAGGTTTGATGAGTTTCCACTGGACCATCACATCTGGTTGGGACCTAAAAGGAATCTTTAGGTGCAAACCCTTCACTGCTGTGTGACCTTATCAAATTGCACACATAAATTGTCATCTCAGCAGCAATTCATGAAGCCAGGTGGTACAGCCAAAATGCTTCAAACAAACCTCCAAACCTGTGTCTTGATTTGAGTCTAGCTGCTGCCACTGGGAACAGAGCAAACACTCACTCCAAAAAGGGAGATAGTGAGGTTTAACTTGTCTGGCCAGTGCCCTGCATAAAACAAGTGTGTGTCCTGGAACACATACGCAATTCTTCTACAGTGCAATGGTGCCTTGTGATAAACATTCAGGGGCTTCTCAGCAGATGAGGAAAAAAAGGGGGGAAGAGTTTCTGTCAGTGAAGAAGCTGAATTCCATGCCGAGGGACATTCAGAAAGGAAGTGAAAATAAAACTGCCAATTTCATAACGCCACCACCAATCAATGGCGCAACCACACTTGGAATAAGGTGTTCATTTCTATCGTAGATCTGAGAAGGCTTCAGCAAAGGCAACTGGAATGATAATGAGGCTGAAGCAACTCCCATATCAGGAAAGGTTAAGGATTTGTTATTTTAGAAGAAAAATGGGTGTAAAAGAAAACATGGTAAGAGGTGTATAAAATTAGGCATCATGGAGAAAGTGGATTGAAAAAAATAATTCTCCCTCTCTCATAATACCAGAACCCAGGGTCATACAATGAAGATGAACGCTGGCAGATTCAGGGCAGTCAAAACGAAGTATTTCTTTACACAGCAATGGCTGGACCACGGAATTTCCTCCCGTGACATATAGCAACGGCCACTAACTTGGATAGTGTTAGAAGGGGTTTAGACAAATTCATGGAGAATTAGGCCACTGGATACTTTGGGAAATAGGATGTTGGGCTGGACGGGCCATTGATGTGATCCAGCAGGGCTGTTCTTATGTTTGTATGAGCTGCAGCCCTTCTCCAAAGGGCCCCACACCACCTGCCCACAGCAATCGTCTTTGGCATCCTCAGTGTGAGAACATATTTCGCAACATGCTATGGAGGCTGCCTTTCTGCAGCAGCCTTAAGAGGATGGACCAGCAGCCACTGCATCTGGAGCATTGGGGATGCTCACCTGCCTTGGTTTTCTGCAGCCAAAATGATTATTTTTTTTTGAGAATACTAAGGAAAAACCATCTTCCGCAGAAACTGCTGCTTGCCTTCTATCACTGTGCCATTGAGAGCGTGCTCACTTATGGCTTATGTGTGTGGTACGGAAGCTGTACTACCCAGGACAGGATGGGGTTGTGCAGAGTTGTTAAGGCAGCAGAGAGCATTGTTGGCTGCCCACTCTCCACCTTAGAGCAGATTTATGCCACAAGGTGCCATAGGAAGGCACTGGACATAGTAAAAGATCCATCGCATCCTGGTCACTGTCTCTTCGAGCTCCTGCCGTCGGGACGGAGATACAGGACGATGAAGACAAGAACGAGCCATCTTAAGAACAGCTTCTTCTCCAGAGCGATCTCGGCCCTGAATGGGAAGCCTGGACTTTGAAAGTCATCTAATCTTCCTTACTGTACTATACTATACTGTATTGTTTTAATTAGTGTTTTTATGGAGCAGTCAAGTAATTTCGTTGTCCCCGAGAGGGGGCAATGACAATAAAGATGTTGTTGTTGTTGTTGTTGTTGTTGTTGTTGTTGTTGTTGTTGTTGTTGTTGTTGTTGTTGTTAGGTTTTAGGCACTCTGCTCTCCGCTCTGAGCAAGCCCCAGGAACAGTAAATTTGGAATAGCTGAACCTCAGGTTGTGTTTCTTTCCATTCAAAAGCATCAGATAACACAACAACAGAAAGTGACTAACGATTTTAGAAAAATGTAATGACGTGCAAAAAATATATAGGGAAAAATTGGAAACCAGGGGTGGGGGTTTGGGGGGGGTGTCTGAGGGATCTAAATAATCCCAGCAGTGTAAAAACTGAAAATGATGTGAATGTATAAGAATACTGTTTAGAAAGTGAAAATAAAATGCTTTTTTAAAAAGAAAGTGACTAAAGATTAACATTGATCGAAAGAAAGTAGCTGTAGTTCACAATAGCTCTGACATAAAAAGTGAACAATAGTCAGGAGAAAGGCAAGTACATTTTCCTACAGAAGTGCAATTTTATTTAGTCATAGGAGACTTCCCCTCCTGCCACACATAGGCGTGCTGCAGAATCAGCCAGACCCAAGTTAGCTTATGAGGTCCTGTGTTCAGCATGTTTCCATTCTTCTTTCTCTCCTTCCCTTTGTCTCCTTCCCATGTGTGTCAATGAGATGGAAGTCTTTGGAATTGTCGCTGGTGTTGCCATTTCGGCATCTGCCCATACTCAGACAGGGGTTTTTGGTCTTGGAATGCTCATTTATGGATTAAATCTGCATATTAGGTGGTTGTGACATTCCAGTGTTATAAGAGAATTCCCTTATCCTGCCCATGGAATGGTATGGATATAATTTCACCACTATTCCATTCCAGTCACAATCCTGCTCTTCCCATATCTGACTAATGCCTGATCTTTCATGGCACAGCTAAACCAGTGGTCAGCCTAGCCTCATGCTCCATAGTGGTTGGGGGGGAAACCCCATAGCTAATTACATACCTTCAAGTTACTTTTTTTTTTTTTTGGTTAATGTTGACATGCCTTCTCTCGGAGGGGGAACTTTTTTTTTTTTTTTGCATATGTTGTGGACATGTTCACATTGTTTAGGTGCTGTTTTTTTTTTTTTCCCTGGCGCCACCCCCCCCACCCTTTGAACTCAGTGACTTTTGCTTCATTGGCCACAAACTTGAAGAATCCTGTGGGCTGTGGTGACCAACATCAGTCTGTTGCTGATGTCACTATACATCTGACATGATGACATAACAGACAAATATTCAAATCAGGTAGGTTGCCACAGCCAATAGAATAAAGTGGCAGCGAAGACAGATGCAGTTGAGCACAGCAAGGAGGGAGAAGAAAAGGAGGCCTCAAGCTAAGCAAGAGGGTTTGATGTTTTAGCCCAACAACAGTTTTGCCTTTTTGGGGCACTCCCGAACAACCGATTTCCAGCTCATGCCAAGATGCCAAGTCTGAAATGCAAGTATTTTGGGAGAGGGTAATTTGTTCAACTGCATTGAATGTGCTGCTTTCGAAATGAAAACCAGATCACAAAATATTTGATACAATGCAAGGGCTACGTAGAGGGGTGCTCTGGGAGAACACTACGAGGCATGATGCTGTGGAGGTGCCATGGCTTTTGCACCTAATTCCCCCTGCTTTTTGCCTTGCACAGCAGACGGCAGGGTATCAAACCACATCTGGAAATATATGTGCACACCCTGTCAGACACACACACACAGACATCCGCACATTATAGGGCAACCAATCCTAACTCTCTGACAAATACATCCACATGAGAGGCATGTATGCAACGTGTTTGTTACATTTACATCTCAGGCGTGAACCTACTAAACAACGGGCATGATCCAACCAAACTGAAGCAGTAATACTGAGTTCAATGGAAGAACTAGCCACCTGCTTCAGTCTCTCCCATTGAAGTCAAAACACTTGGGAGCTGCTTTGCTTTCGCTGGATTGTGTGTGAAGCAAGCAAAACTAAGAGTAATATTTGGTGCACACAATCATCTGGAACAGCCTTCCCCAACCAGGTACCCTCCAGATATTTTGGACTCCAACTTCTGTCATAGAATTGTAGAGTTGGAAGAGATCATCCTCAATCATAGGCTGTGCTAGCTGGGGTAGATGGGACTTTCAGTTGAGAACATTAGGAGGACATCAAGTTTGGGAAGGCTGTTCTGGGCAAACACCATAGCCATGCTAGGTCATCTTGCAGGTGGGACTACAGATGTGATTATTAACTAGATCAAAGATAAATTATAATTATATAATTGTACATAAAGACACAGCGCTCCTTTTGAGTTACTGTACTAAGGCACTGTGATGAAACAGTGACACTTTCTGAAACACTTGATTGACATCAGTGGAGATTGCTAACCATAAAATAAAATGTTATATTGTTTTCAGGATTCTGCATTCCACAAGAGACAGGAAAAACAACAACATGGCAGAATTCATCCATTGACTTTTAGGTTCTATTAGCAATACCAGACTAGTTATTGTTAGTTATTGTGGTTTGGCCTGACAATGCCAACACAGTATCTAGTTTGGCTTCGATAATGCCCATAGTGTGCTGCTGATACTGCAAATGGCTGTGTCCTTCCCACTCATGTCAGTTGAACTTGCCTTGTGTTGCGATGTCACAGTGTTCCACATTCCTGGCTCCTACTCGGCATCATTAACTGCCAATGGCAGTAAAATGTGGAATGTTAAAACATCACAATATGATGGAAGTTCTACTAGGTAGTGCAGAGGAGGAGGGATTAGTTGCAATGGTGGCATTTTTGAGTTGTAGCCATGCATTTACCCAGAATGTCTAATTTGGTCCATGGTACATACAATTATTTTAATTCTTACAAATCTAATTTTCCATGAGGTCCCCTCTCCTCCTGTCTTATGCCATGCTGTACTCATTTTTTTAAAAATATATGTGTGTGAATATTTAACCTGCTGACTGTAAGAATAAAATGTGTCTACATTCCTCATATTCTGAAAACAGGAATTATATCTCTCTCACCCCACAGCAAAACATGAAAAATAAAAATATGGCAAAAATTACACAAGACCTTCCCCCATTATCTTTGAAACTTAAGCCTGGGAGACTGTGTCACGTGTTAGTGTCCCCCCCCTTTCTCTTATTGTATGCAGGTGATGAGTACAAAGCTTTGAGCTGAAGTAGATGAATGGAGCAATACAAAGTCTCATAATTGCTTTAGGGGAGGGCGGAAGGGAACAGGAAATGTATTAAAATACTCACTTTGACGAATCTATGAAGTATATTACAAGAGCACCAATACTAAGAGCGAAGACTAAGACAACCTGCAAAAGTGAAGAAGAAGAAAATGCAATCACTTTACGGGCCACAGCTGAGGCATTCATTATTCAAACAAACAGGAATGAGAAAACAGTGCAAGAAATTTCATGGTTCCATTTTAATTGCCTTATGCTTTACCAGAAATATGAATCATGCTTGCAGCGCTTGACAAAACTGGGGACAATGCTGGAAATGTATACAACCAGAGCTTGCCAAAGATATCTGTGGGCCTGAGGAAGAAAATCCAGGTGGCATCCACTGGTGGTAATATAATAATAAACACGATAATGGACAATTTACTGTCTTTAATGGTGTCCTAATATCTGCAACCTAAGTCAGTCTACCACGCCCTAATATGAATCATACAGACATCCCCTATGTAGATGTTTATGTGCTCTGAGGTTTTGTTCTAGGCCGTATCCTCTCAGGAAGTGAAGCCTTTTGGTCCCTGGGGTATGGCGCTCTCAGAAATATGACCACAACTGCAGAACATACTTTTCACTAAGACCTGTCAAAGCACCTCGCTGCTCTGTTTAATCCACCTCGGGGAAACCTCTTTGTTGACAAGAGGACTTTTAAACATTCTGAGAGAGGATTCCCAACTAGGGCTTGTATGCCATTTTGTGGCCTATTGGATTACGGGCAGAACACAACAGGGTATGACAGGTTGCGGGCGGAACCTTGTGGGGTAAATAAGAAACAACAATGTTATTTGTGGGTAATCGTCTAAGTGACCAATCCACACTATTTCATCAAATACAGTAAAGACCGGAAGTATGTAGGATAAGCTTCACTCTGTTCATAAAACAGGCAGCCATAGTTTGCTTTTTATGGTCCTTACTTCCTGGAGAGAGTAGTGGTCAACTACATTTTTTGTTTTTCATTATGTTCACAATAATATAATGTCGAAGGCAATTACACAAATAAAGCTTCATACAAACGGTTTCTTTGTGGTTTCACATTTAACCCACACATTTACTATCATGGACAGATTTTACTACAGACAAAACATAAGCATGATCACCTGTGGGTTTGAGACTCTGCTAAAAACATTCCTGTTCAGACAAATCTACCTAGGTGCTGAGAAAGATGAGGTAATTTTAATCTGTTTTCATTTTTGGACTTTTGTATGTTTTGAAGTAGGGCTGTGGGTTTTTTTCTTGATTTTACTGTTTCATCTTTTTGTAAACTGCTTTGAGCACTTTTAGAATCAAGCGGTGTATAAATTTCATTAAATAAAAAATAAACTAAGAATTTTGAAAACGTATGTGCATGTGTGTGTGTGCACATTAATCAATATACCACAGGCAGAGCTGCTAAATTATTTGCACAACTGAGTAAAAGAGAAGTACAGGATACTGGTCCATAATCTCTTGCTGGATGCAAGAAGGCTGTAGCTAAAGATTTAACTCCCCACTGGGTAGAAGTGGGATTAAAAAACTGTTTTGGTAGAGGAAGAAAGCAAAATATGTGGGATTTGATGATAATGAGCTAAAAACTGCTTGGTAATAACAGAGCTATGATTATAGAATATTCGAAGGGGGGGATAGAAAAGCCACAGGGGAAATGTTTTGTTTATAACAACGTATGTTCAACCAGTGGATTTAAAATCAATTATAAAAATGAATATGCTCTGTCTCTCTCACTAGCCTATATCCTTTGCCCAGTCACATACCCTCAGGTCGAAGCACCCAAAGGCCTGGAACATGAGTGTCCATCTTGCATGTCTCTTGCCTTGCTGATATCTTTAAATTGTCCACTTGTGCCAGTGGTGTAGAGATATCATCATATGGAATTGCCAGTTTCACAAGCCAGAGCGTGTTTTGAATTGTACATGCCTCTCTCTGAAAAGGGCACATAACTCATGCAGGAGAGCAAATGCTTAGCAGACCAATGACCCCAGTTTCTCCAGATAAAAAAAATCTCAGGTAGGCAGACTTGGAAAAAAATACTCTTCTTTAAGACCTTGAAGCAATGCTGCCAGTCAAAGCAGAGAATGCATGACAAACTTAATGGACTGTGGTTTAAGGCAGCTCCTTACAGTTTATATATCTCACAGACGTCAGAGCCAATTTGACAGCTGCGTACATCTCTGCCATTTGTCTGCTGCTGAGACTGAGAAGCACACATAGCTTTGCCTTAGACTAACAAAAATCAATACTTTATGCGTGGCGGGGGTGGGTCGGGTAGGGAACGGAAATCAAACCCAAAAGGAAATACTGTCCAGGGTCATTAAAAATCGCAAAGGCCTTGTGAATCTTTGCAACAAGCCCCCCTTTGATTGCAAGATACCTGGAACAGTGTGAGGAGCAGCAAGTGAGTTTACAAAGGCTTAAAAAGAATCCTATCTGAAACAAATATTTCCACTCGACTCCCTAAATCAATTAGTTGGATTTATATAACTGCTTAGCCAAATCAACCACTTAGGAAAGTAACTCAGTCAGATGTGCATTTTCTATTTTGCTTAATTGACCCGAACAAATAAAATGCTTAAAATCAAGTTTTTGCCTTTTTTCTTCTCCCTACAGAAATCTCTCAGAATTACAAATGAACCAGGAAAGGATTTAGGGGGCCTAGTGCAAATAGGAAGAGGGGATTCCAGCAGAGCAGTACAGTGGTACCTCAGGCGGCGAACTTAATTCGTTCCTGAGGTCCATTCTTAACCCAAAACCGTTCTTAACCTCAGGCGCACTTTCGCTAATGGGGCCTCCCGCTGCCACCGGTGCGCTATTTCTGTTCTCATCCTGAGGTAAAGTTCTTAACCTGAGGTACTACTTCCAGGTTAGCGGAGTTTGTAACCTGAAGCCTTTGTAACCCAAGGTGTTTGTAACCTGAGGTACCACTGTATCAGTTCTCTGATATCTGGTGGTCACCCTGAACCTATCAGAGAATGGAGAATTGAACCACCACACTCAGAACCCTTCAGGTCATTTTCCCTTGGGAGAAGTAGTAGTAGACAATTTCACAGTGATGCTTCCCTTCTTCTTAAAAAAAAAAAAAGTTTAAAAAATGTTGTCAACAAAACAGTCTGCATTAACAAAAGTGTTTAGGCAAACAATCTGTGGAGGAGCCTGGCAGTTACATACCTTAAGCCCTGAAGTGGGGAACCTTTTTCAGTAGAACAATGGGTGTGCCTTTGTTTGAGAGGCTACATTTCCACCATGAAAACAGATACATATCTCTATCCCCCTTCGAGGCAAGCAAGAGAAACGACCATGGTTCAGGAATTTTAGAGGAGAGTGTGGCACGGGGACAATGAGGGGTGTGTTGTGTGTGGTGGACATGGACTGGTGAGAGTTCCAGCCACTGGATAGAAAGTTCCGGAAAGATGCATTTTACTGTTGGGCCTGAGGTTTCCTCACCCCTGCCTTAAGCAAACAAACCCATCCTCCTTGGTCATACCAGGTCAACCAGGAGACAGAAGTAGAGAAGGGATGTGTGCTTCTCCTCAACTATACCTAGACCAGCCTACTTCTCAGGATGCCCTGCCAACTCCTTCAGCTCTGTAGCCTAGCCCCTGCCCTGCACAGAACTGCTGTAAACAGGCCCCAAGGTGTCATTAAACATGGTTAAGCAGCCCAAGGGGATTGTGGGGTACTATCTGGGACCATCGACAAAATCAGCCATGCAATGAGGAAGAGACTGAAATGTTGTCACAAAACAGGAAATGAGTTAAAACGGCAACGGGTGTTAAGAAGTGTGTGCAGTATACTTAAAGGTAAAGGGACCCCTGACCATTAGGTCCAGTCATGACCGACTCTGGGGTTGCAGCGCTCATCTCGCTTTATTGGCCGAGGGAGCCGGCATACAGCTTCTGGGTCATGTGGCCAGCATGACTAAGCCGCTTCTGGCGAACCAGAGCAGTGCACGGAAACGCCGTTTACCTTCCTGCCAGAGCGGTACCTATTTATCTACTTGCACTGTGACATGCTTTCGAACTGCTAGGTTGGCAGGAGCTGAGACTGAGCAACGGGAGCCCACCCCGTCGCAGGGATTCAAACCGCCGACCTTCTGATCAGGAAGCCCTAGGCTCTGTGGTTTAACCCACAGCGCCACCCACGTCCCTTAAGCGGTATACTTAGAGATAGTCAATACAGGGTGTGGGTGTGGTGGGATCTTATATTGTGGTAAATTCTGCCTGTTTTGGGCCAAGGAGGAACATAGGAAGCTGTCATATACTGAGCCAAAACACTGGTCCATCAGTTCAATATCTTCTACATCAGTGTTCATCAACCTTGAGTCCCAGATGTTGTTGAATTGCAACTCCCATCGTTGTCAGCCAGCTTAGCCCGGTGGTCAGGAATGACCAACAACATACAGAGACCCAAAGCTGAAGAACACTACAATTTTTCAGACAGGGGTTTCTCCCAGTCCTACTGGAGATGCTAGGGACTGATCCTGGGCCTTATGTATGTAAACCAGACGTTCTCCGTACCACTGAGCTATTGCCATTCATCTCATTGAATCCCAGAACTAGTAGGTTTAGGAAATTGCTGCTCCCCACTGATTTTTTTAAATATTTAAATACTCATGCATGCCTCTCTTTCTTCCCATCCTTCCGCTCTAGCCAGTTCCCATGGGTCTCATCCTGCAAAAGTCCCATGGCTTCCACAATCTCCTGGATTGGCTATCAGCCAAAAACATTTACAAAATGGCTGTTGCTATCTTGCATGCATTTCCTCAGAAGAAAAGACTTGATTTTGGCAGTGTTCCTTTCGCGGGCATATGTGTTTCAGGATTGCGGCCTGCGTAGCTTCTGAATGCATTGTCAGAGGGCAGACTGACTGCAAGACAAGGCAGGGAATAATTAGCAGTTAACTCCCCAGAGAGATGGAGGGGGAAAACAAAGGAAAGAGAACCTCTGTTCTTCAAGCCATCATTCAGCTGTGTAATAACACTTTCTGAAGTGGGGATAACAGTTATTATATATGGTACACTGAAGCTCCATGAAGGCACAGTCCACAGAAAAGCTAACTAGGCCTTGCATTATTTTGTTTTTGTCTAA